TATAGCATACATTATACGAAGTTATACGAGGCTACCGTCAATCTAGTAGTGAGGCGTTCCTCACTCCGGTCGGGTGTACCCGGCGATCGATTTCCAGGCTACCGTCGACTTAGTAGTGAGACGTTCCTCACTCCGGTCGGGTGTTCCCGACAACCGACTTCCTGTATCCCGTCGATCTAGTAGTGAGGCGTTCCTCACTCCGGTCGGGTGTACCCGGCGATCGACTTCCAGGCTACCGTCGACTTAGTAGTGAGGCGTTCCTCACTCCAGTCGGGTGTTCCCGGCAATCGACTTTCTGTATCCCGTCGATCTAGTAGTGAGGCGTTCCTCACTCCGGTCGGGTGTTCCCGACAACCGACTTCCTGTATCCCGTCGATCTAGTAGTGAGGCGTTCCTCACTCTGGTCGGGTGTTCCCGGCGATCAACTTCCAGGCTACCGTCGACTTAGTAGTGAGGCGTTCCTCACTCCGGTCGGGTGTTCCCGACAACCGACTTCCTGTATCCCGTTGATCTAGTAGTGAGGCGTTCCTCACTCCGGTCGGGTGTACTCGGCGATCGACTTCCAGGCTACCGTCGACTGTGAGATGATGTCATACCGTAAGGTCTTCCGTCTCACCCTCGCAATGCCGAGTCAGGCTCACAAGGAGGGTTTTTAGCGGGTAGGTCCTCGCGGTACCCTGACAATAGTCAGGACTAGAGCCGCGAGGGAATCCCGCACTCCCCCGCAGTACGGGCTGCGGGAAGTCTTTCGAAGATTTTCCCTCCTTGCGAAAAAAAAAAAAAGGTAACCGTCAACTCAGTAGTGAGGCGTTCCTCACTCCGGTCGGGTGTTCCCGGCGATCGACTTCCAGGCTACCGTCGACTCAGTAGTGAAGCGTTCCTCACTCCGGTCGGGTGTTCCCGACAACCGACTTCCTGTATCCCGTCAATTTAGTAGTGAGGCGTTCCTCACTCCGGTCGGGTGTTCCCGGCGAGCCGACTTCCTGTATTCCGTCGATCTAGTAGTGAGGCGTTCCTCAATCCGATCTGGTGTTCCCGCCGATCGACTTCCAGACTACCGTCGGCTCAGTAGTGAGGCGTTCCTCACTCCGGTCGGGTGTTCCCGACGGTCGGCGTCCAGTCTTCCGTCGGTTTTGTAGTGAGTAGTTCCTCACTCCGTTTGGGTGTTTCCGACGATCGACTCCTAAAATCTCCGCAAGAGAGACGATTCTCTCTCCGGACGCAGCGTACCGGCAATCATCTACGACGCATCCAGCTCAGATATACGCGGTATCATTATTTACTTTATATTTGTTTCTTACCGACCGAATTAGATTATTAGATTAAATTTAATTAGATTTATTTGTTTAATTTCGGAAAGGCGCATTCCGTCCGACTACGTTATTTATTTTGATGCTTCCGTTATTTATTACTTCCGAGAATTTATTTATTTTCGTTTACGACAACACCGTTGCAATATTAGTTACGGTAATAAAATACTTATGTATAGTTATTTTTTTTTATAATTACATTCCATCTTTAATTTATTTGAATAAATTTATGTTTGTTTAATTAACATCTATTAATTTGGAGTCTCCCCACAATCACCCGAACGAATCCTGACGAACCGTCGAACTATTCTCCGCTTAACAAAAATCCGTTTCGTTACAAGCTACTTCTAATATAGGGACGCGCGCGCGCGCGCTCGTGAGGCAAAATAAAAAAAAATGCATTTTATAGGGGATGAACAATATATTCATGATTTCTGATCAGAATTTCAAGATAACGTTAACCTTTCTTACAAAAAATATCAAATATCGCAAAAAAACCCATTTTTTACATATTAAACCTCAATTATTTTGGAAACTTGACGTGCTGGTGAAATTTGCGGCATCGTTTTCAACATCCAAAAATCTATAAGAAACACCTTGTCTGATTCAAAATAATTAAAAAAAAAATTTTTTTGTAAACTAGTGTTATCAATTCGTGATCGTTTCAACCCGATGACGTGAAAAGCTTTGCACTAACGAGATCAATTTCAGCGCCGATATTTTCCAATTTTGTTTGAAGTACTTTGAAATGGCCGCAGGTGTAAAACAGGGCTGTTGCGATTAAAGTATCAGTTCCTAGTATGATAAGACCACACAGGCTCGTCGCAACTATTTGCGAGAAATAAACAACCTGCGTAAACAGGAGGTACACAAGGATGTCGTCACGCTTAATAATTTGGATAAACCGGAAAGTGAAGCTCTCACCTCGTACATCGGAAAGTGATAGCAAGGCTCCGGATATAAAGCTACGAATGGAAAATGTTTTGTACTGTTATCGCCAGTATCCTTGATTACCGCAACAAGTGTCTCGATTACAGGTAGACTGAAGAAAAATACTAAAGCATTACAAATCAAGAACAAGTATCCTTTGGTAAACAAATGTCCCTTCTTCACGTATCTGCAAATAAATAAATTTGGTATACCAGCACACTGCGGTTCGGAAAGAACTTCACTTACACTATATACACATTCGGAACTTGTGCCGTCATTAGTTCCCAATAATCTGTTAACATGTATTCTATAAAAAGATCCATTTTCCTTCTGTTGCTTATCCAAACCAGCGATTTTAACACAGCAAGCAGGATAGTGAGCAATACCGAACTGTGAAAGGATGAAAGAATTAAATAAGATTATTAATTTTATTATGATTATTGTTATATTACTATAATTATTGTTTTACTTGAATATTGAAATCTCAATATACAGGGCGTTAGAAAAGTCTGGAAACGGTCAAATATCTTGAAAGAAACTCATTTTAGAGAAAAATGTTAAATACAAAAGTTATTGAGTGTCAAGTAATGCATTAGTTGGGAATATGCGATTGACCTTGGATGGCGTCGTGAAGGTCATGTCAAGATCGACTTGAATTTTTTAAACGGGAACCCCCATTTTTCATTACATATTCTTGTAGCTTACCTCAAGAACTTTTCAAAACACTATAATGAAGTATTTTTCCGTCAAGTACTTTTCGAGTTATCAGAGTTGAAAGTTACGGTAGAGTGATAGAGAAAGAGAATGCGGCAACGCGCTCAACACGCTTCTTTCTCCCTCACTCTACCGTAATTTTCAAGCCTTATAACTCGAAAAGTACTCGGAAAAATACTTCATTATAGTGTTTCGAAAACGCCTTGACGTCAGCTACAAGAATATGTAATGAAAAATAAGGGCTCCCGTTTAAAAAAATTCAAGTCGACCTTGACATGACCTTCACGACGCCACCCAAGGTTAATCGCATGTTCCCATCTAATGCACTACTTGATACCCAACAACTTTTGTATTTAACATTTTTCTCTAAAATGAGTTTTTTTCGAAATATTTGACCGTTTCCAGACTTTTTTAACACCCTGTAAAATTTGCAATCTACTTTGTACTATGCGGAACTGCGAACGTATACCTCGTTTCCAGTACGACAGCCAAATCTTGCCAATCCTCAAAAATCTGTATCGCTTGCGGTATAATAATGGTGAACATGCACACACAACACACGATATATCTTACAATACTCGTTGGATAGAGACCGACAAATTTCAAGACCTTTCTGTTAATAAGCACATAGTTATTGACATCCATTCTATTTTCCTTGAAAGAAAATACGATGAGAAACTGAGTCTTGGAAGCATTCGCGAACCCTGTATATCAGATCTGTGCTAATTAGATCTTATTAATAAAAATAAAACGAGACCTACGGACAAACATTAGAAATTTGATGTTTGAAAACACATTATTAGTTCACATTAGCAGTTTGCATATCATATTTTCTTGAGTTTTTCTCCGCTAATCGTTTTACACAGGCAATTAGCAAACATCACTAATGAACCTAATTAGTGGAGCACTGTACTATAAGCGTAGAGGTGCAAGGTACGACATGGGGACTTTATAACCGCCCTAAGCTCGTTAATATTTCAGACATCTAATTTGCACGATCAACATCTTTCATTATTGCAGGGAACAAAGTAGTTTCGAGACCCTCGCTTCAGTGTGTCTTTTTACTTATGCTGTTTAGCAGACGCTGACAACGCCACTTCCTCGATCGACCCCTAATTAAGGCATGTGAAGAGACAAATGGCTTTCTTCGTTTCTTCCATTTTACACCCGTTTATTATTTTAATGTAAAATACATGTACGTATAGAAGGGAAATTGTACCTTTCAGGTGAACATATACTCTATCACACTCTTGGCGACATTCGCTACGGGGAATCAAACATTATGATGCGTATAACACTTGGCAGTGAAACTTACGAGACGGCGTGCAAATACCAGGATATGTAAAGTCGTAAAAATAACAGACAAGTTTACTTTCAAAACGACAGCCTGTCGCGGTAAGTTTTTATAAAAAAATCTTACAATTTATCAAATTTCGTCGTTTACATTTCGACTTAATATTTCGTTAATAAATAATGATGGAACTCCTTAATTTGCTTATACAATTCAACAATGTGTAATGTCACTTGTAGATAGAATATACTTACCGTGTGTATGAAACGCTGGCAGACGTTATTTTTCAATAATATTACAAGTGTATTTATCATCATAATCTAACATTGTAAAAAGTTTTATTTAAAAAGGTAGTTTATAGTCTTACGCGTACTTTATACGTATCAAACGATGCACAATATTGTAGATGTTTCATATTCCGAAAATTGTACTCACTCCCTCTGCGTGACGTCTGCACGAACGTCGACGCGAATGCGGCTTGAGAATGAAAACGTACAAAGGGCTATTTGCAGTTCAAGGGCATTTTCTTTCTACTTGACTCTTTCCACTCTCTTCGTATTCTTGACTGGAGATCCACATCTGTTGGAAGGTGCCGATCGACGCTAGTATCGAGCCGCCTATCCAAGCGCCGAATCTTCTCTCCGCACAGCCGTTCGCGCTGATCAATTTGAGACGCATGCTGGAGGGTATTCTCATTGATAAATCTCTATTCAGACGCTCCGGGAACCCCTGTGGAATGTAAAGCAGTCTGTCAGTAAGGACAGCGATTTGTAAGCAACAGTATAAGAGACAAATTCGCACCTGAATAAACGAGTTACCACCAGTTACGACAACGCTGCCGTAAAGCGCAGGCCGCACGTCAACGTCGCACATGCCAACACTGGTCGTGACAATGTGTCCCACTCCTAACATGGTATTACCGACCATACCTCCGCGCATTTGTACCATACTGGGATCAAATAACGCTTCCGGTATCCGAAATCTCTCGCTACTAAAATCCTGGAGACATTTTTCTCTATCATTCATTTCCTCTTGATCGGAAAATTTGATGTAAAGAAGAAATGTTGAATAAATACCTGATGATACCCAGTTGGAAATTCATATTGAACAGCGGGAATTGTGGAAACAATTTTCTCGTCGTACGGTGTTTCCGACACTTGTAGAACTGTGGCTTGGAAATCTTGAATCACTTTCTTCACCATGTAATTGTGCCAAGATTTAGTGACTTCGGGTAAAGCCTTCTTTTTTACCCACCGTGGTTTATCGTGATCCTTTACTACCTCTTTGCTGCCCACCATATAAGGAGGTGATAAATCGATATCATTGTCCTACATTTATTCAAAATAAACAAGATAAATATATTTAGGAAAAACAGTTTAATAAATATATATATATATATATTTACATACCTGTAAGAATTGTCTGCATTGCATACTTATGTAATCGCCACCAAGAGGGGATTTAACAATAGCTTGTGTCAATACAAATCCATCTTGTACAGGCACTGCAGATGTATGTGTGGCTCCACTGTCAACAACAATACCAGTTGCTCTACCATTTGCAAATGCAGCCAGAACTGCATTTTTGACAAGGAAATAAGCTGGCACATTGTACTTTTCAAACATCAATTCAGTCAGCTTTTCCCTCTTGCTGCGCACATTCCATGGAGATTCAGAGAACAGTACAGGATGATATTCGGCATCAGATTGAATTATTTTTAAATATGTATAATCTAAGACCTAAACAGATAAATGCGCAATATTAAATTTTTAAGTTTTTATGTGAGAAGTTTATTGCTGAAATCTCAAGAAAAATCGCTCATTCATTTACCTTTTCAAAGTGATCCCAATCATCAATCATGCCATCTTTCATATAACTCGCAATTTCCATATTTTTACGCGGAACATGAAGAATTGTGGTATCGATGTAATATTTGCTTCCACTTTGTGTAATATTGCTATCAGGTTTCTTGTCGTCGATGTCCATAGGTTCAGCCTTAGTGGCTGTGCCATTGGCATCTTCTCCTATTCCCACGACAGCTGGAATTTCTGCTTTCGGAGTGTCCTCTTGGGCATAGCCGACTCTTAGGGAGTGATGACCCAAGTCAAAGACTAATGCCCCTATCTCATCTCCACCATACAGCATACCACCAGACATCTTGAAAAATTATGAAGTTTTTTTTCAAAAATGATATCAAAAGTATTGTAATTATCACTGCAATTGTACACACTACAATCTTGTTGATTTTTAATATGATTAATTGACACATGACACAACAGCACCACGCATATTGACAATATCACATGATACAGTACAACTTTGTCCTACAATTACTTATACAAATACTTACGCTAAATATTGGGTATTTATGTTTGTAAAAGCTTACCGTGAGTTACAAAAATTACTCAGTGAAACGGCAAAATATATATGTCTACTTGACGACTACATGAACGTTTATTCTTGTGACTTTTGCGACATATCACCATAACCTCACTTGTAAGGACGCTTCCAATAGTGCCGGTCACCACCGGTCACCGGTATATATTGGTCTATTCACAGTGTCAGAAACGCCTTTAAGCCTGAATCAGACTACGCACTGAAGATTGAAGATTGAAATTAGATCAATCGAAACAAAAGGGGCTAAAAGTTCTTTGTTCTGATTGGTCAAATTTCAATCTTCAATCTTCAATGTGTAGTCTGATACGAGCATTATATAGCTTACTGATAAAAAAACAAGCGGAATGGCTGTGATTGGTCGTGCTGACTCCGTGCTTTCCGTTCCGCTGTGGATTTCTGCCAATGGGACGTCGCCGACCTCAGTGTACACTTCTTGCACTAGTACAGAAAATTCCGCTACAAAGAACGAACCTTTAGATATCAAAAAGGCGGGAAGTGGCCAGCATGACGTAAAGGAACTGTGTTGTATCACGGAATGATAACGTGAATATATACCTTGCAATAATAACATGAATATAACTAATTTTGCAACAATTTTTAGTCACCATTGATTACAATCGATAAACTTTTAATACGGCATCAATATATAATTAATATTCTACAGTTAGTGATATCTTTGTCATTAATACATATTAGCATTTTATCAACATCTGCTTTTAATTGTTGGTGGATCAGTAAGTACTTTTTTTGAAAATCTCTATAAATATATCAGCAGAAAGGAAAAATAATAAAATGCGATATTGTGTCTCTGACAGGACAGAAGTTCACACGTAAAGAAGAAGTATTTCTATTGCTATCAGAATATGAAAAACATCAAACAATATTTTGCCAACGGCAGACGAAAGACGAAAGACGTCGATGTGGAGGTTACTGCCGATCCAAGCACCGCCGTGGAACAGAAAGAGCAGGAAGAAACCATTGCAACGGGTAAACGTAAACGTGTAAAGATTCGTATATCACGTAACGTTTCTAAGCAAAGGATATGTGATATAATAGAGAACAAGAATGATCTGATCGACAAAACACCTAGTCCATTAAATGTTAAAGTAAATAACGATAAAAGTGTCTCACAGGATGGAACACCAAAATCTTATTCGACTGGCTTGAAGTTGCGTTCCAAAAAGGTATCAGATTTAGAATCTAAATAGAGATATGATTGATATTAATTTCTTGATATTTAAAGTTTTTTTTAATTTTTTAAGGGTTCCAAACTTAATGTGGAAGTAAACACAGAAAATAGCCCATCTGAAAAGATGAAAAATATTTTACAAGATAATATAGAATCAAATGAACAGGTTATTATAGATTTGAATAACTTTTCTACTGACAATATAAAGAATGTTAATGATGAGAGTCTATCAAATATAGAGCTTTGCGATGAAATTGGTTCTCAGCGGGAAGAATCAAATGCCTTTCAAGTTTTAATGAATCGTGGTAAACCAATACAGTACAAAGTATTATCGCAGCAATCTATAGAGGATATTAAATGTAAGCAGAAATTGGATGAAGCCAAAGAATCGAAATCTGAATGCAAAGAGAAGCTAATAGCTTTGGCTGATAAAAAGGGTTATTCTAAAAGAAAAATTGCAGAGATGGAAGAAGGTGAAAAAATAGAAAAGAATATAGAAAATCGTATAAGATTTTTCAAAAATAACGATAAAAGCGACATCGCAAATAAAAAGGATGATATTGGATTGTCGATAAAAAACAAGTCATCTGGAAATTTACTAAGTTATTTTAGGTAATGCATAGTCTTACATTCTTTTAGTATTATCAAGTACTGTATTGTTAATATCATTAATAAAAAAAATTATAAAGTATTTAACAAACATGTAAATTTAAATTTAGTAACTTTAGTATTGCTCAAACAGAGTAATAATTTTTTTTTTTTTATTAAGCAGCAAATCACACTTAAATGTTACAAATAAGAACGAGAAATGTTCATCTACTTTCATCGTAAAGGCGGATGTACATAGAACTCACAATTCTGATAATGAATCTGCAGTTAAATCTGCAAAAAAATCGATTCCGGACAAGATGTATTTTAACAAAAAATGTTCAAAATCAGAATTGGATCTTTCAACAGTGAATAGTATTCACATTGTAGCATCTGAAAGTTTGTTTTCACCACAAACCATCAGTCAAGATAAGCTAAAACGAGAAAAACCTTGGTCTTTGCGCATAAAATTACGTTCTGAAAGTAATGATTCTTCGAATGGTACGTATTAAAATAGTATATAAAAATCATAATATATGATACATGTACATATGATGTAAAGTATAACTAGAGTCTCCCACTGATACTCATTGGTCGATGGCGATGACTTTTTTTTCACACTTTGATCGCTGATTTCCCAAAAGTGAATAACTTTTTTAGTTTTAATAACAATATAGAATTTACATTCGCAATTTGGCATACAGATACCACTGATGAGGAATTGTTTTCACCAAGAAGCAAATCAAAGTTTCATGTCTCAAATAAGTCTCGAAATTCTACAAATATGGAAGAAAATAGTAGGATTAATATAAAAAATGGACATATTAAGACGAGAGAACAAAACAAAAAGAAAAAAGAATTGATTGGTAAGCAGAAAGAAAGTAATGCTTCAAATGCTACTAAGGATGCTGTTGTGAACGATAACAATAAAGATATTGATTTATGTCCAAAAAAATTGAAGAAAGTTAATAAAAGGAACAAAATTAGTGATAAGAGTGAAGAAGTTACAACAACAACTGACTATTCTGATTGTAAAATCATCAGTGAAAACATCTTGAAAAGGAAACCGAATGAAAAATTGGCACCTCTGTTCGTTAAACGACGTAAAACAGATCCTATTGTCGTAGCAGCTAGACGTTCGTTTCTGCAGTCAGACATAACTGACGTAGAGAGCAAAAGTACAGATCGTAAGACAAACAATAACATACCTATGTTACCGTTTCCGACTATTAGTCACGTGACACAGTTAGAAGATAAGTCAGACTTGATCAAACCGGAAATCAAGCATAAATACAAGATGAAAACTGAGAGGAGATATTTACCTTCGATAGATGTTAATAACTACAAGTGTATCACCAATTATAAGGAATCAAAAGCGAGTGAAACGGTCAATGAGCCTGTGAAGGAAAACGTCAATGCGGCATTGTCTGAAATCGAGAAACTTTGTCCGGATGTGCAAGAATTATGGAAAGCCTTGACGATCAAGGATGATTCGGAGAAGAAATCGCCGCCCCGAATGAAAGGCAGAAGGGCGAAATCACTCGAGCGAAAAAAGAAAGCGGAAAATTTGGAAAATTTGGAAAATTTGGAAAATTTGGAAAATAAAGAGGCTCTGTCTCATGATTGCACGTGGACGTGTAAATATAAGCCGAAGAGCGCGCAAGAGATAGTCGGAAATGAAGGAGCCGCGGATAAACTGAAGAGCTGGCTGAGCGGCTGGAGAGTGTCCTTGACAAAGGAGGATGATGGCAGTAGCAGCGACGAGTTCTATTCGTCCGATTGCAGTTCTATGTATAACAATGAAAATAATCAAATAGCTATATTGCTGGGGCCGCACGGCAGCGGAAAGAGTGCGAGTGTATATGCAATAGCGGAGGAGCTCGGTTACAGGTTTGTGATGGAAAAAGTCCATAACGTAAATATATAATCATTAAAATGGTTGAATATTGAAAGCACTATTTACACATTAAGTATAAATAAAAATTGAAAAAACTTGACTATTGAAAATTTTATTTTTATAGCGTGCTGGAGGTGAATGCATCCTCCAGACGGAGCGGAAAAATAATTCTAAAAGAATTGGAGGAAGCCACAAAGTCGCACAGGATTAAAGAAAAGAAGCGTACATCTCTGTTCGAGCGAGTTGTAAACGAGAGTGAGACCCCGAAGGTATCGAAAAACTCTCTGATTCTTCTGGAAGACATTGATCTCATCTTCGAGGAGGACGAAGGCTTTGTTTCCGCTGCGTGTCAATTAGCATCGAACACGAAACGACCGATCGTCATGACGTGTAGAGATATATGCCCTCACCTGAGTAAAATGGCACCGCAACAAAACAAGATTTACTTTCAACGAGTAAATTTTGTGAATGGTAACAGAGCGTCTGCCTTGCTAGAATTAATTTCATTGGCGGAGAAAGGTTACAGGCTTCCACATAATTGTCTAATGGTAAGTGGTCTTTAAATTATACTCTAAAATTTTGATTGCTATTTTTTTAATCAAAGTTATAATCTCGGACTTGAAATAATAAGATTTGATGCAAAAAGAAGTCTGTACATATATTATTGTTAGAAGTCTACATAGTTATTAAGATTTGTACTCAAATTAAAACTTTTTATTTATTAAAAATTTTCCAAGTAAGAGGGCAGTCTGAAAAGTTCGCGGAGCGAAAATGAAAAAATAAGTTATAGTTTTAGAAATTTATTTAGGTTTTATTTTTCAACATAATCTCCTTTAACTTTAATACACTTAGTCCAGCGCTTCTCTAATAAATCTATCCCATCCCTGAAATGACTTTGCGGAAGGTCTGCAAAGTATTCGTCTACGGTTGCAATCATTTCTTCATTGGACGAAAAACGCTTACCAGCGAGGAAGTTTTTTAGATTTGGAAACAGGTGGAAGTCGGAGGGAGCCAAATCTGGCGAATAGGGTGGATGTTCCAACAATTCATATTTTAATTCGTTGATTTTTCCCATCGCCAAAACACTTTTGTGGGCAGGTGCGTTGTTTTGGTGAAAAATGATTTTTTTCTTCTTCAAACCGGGTCTTTTCTCACGAATTGTTTTATCCAGTTGGTCCAAAACTTTTGCATAATACTCTCCGGTTGTTGTTTTACCTTTCTCAAGATAATCAATCATTAAAATCCCTTTTGCATCCCAAAAAACAGACGCCATAATCTTTCCCGCCGTTGGAATCATTTTTGCCTTCTTTGGTGCAGAACAACCGGCTTCTGTCCACTGTATCGATTGCTGTTTTGTCTCTGGTGTGAGATGATGAATTCATGTTTCATCTATAGTTATAAATCTACGCACAAAATCAACTTTGTTTTTCTTAAAACGATCCAAACACTCTTGAGAAATTCGCATTCGATTCCGTTTCTCATCAATTGTTAGCAAATGCGGCACTCATTTTGCACCAAGCTTTTTCATATGCAATTCTTCGTGTAAAATATAACCTATACGTTCTTTTGAGATGCCCATGGCCTCAGCAATCTCACGCACTTTTATTTGCCGGTCATCCAATACCATGTCATGAATTTGTCGAACGATTTTCGGTGTTGTGACACTTTTTGGGCGTCCACTGCGGGGATCGTCTTCGATGCTTGTACGACCACGTCGAAACTCAAGCGCCCACTTGCAAACCATTGTTTTTGAAGGAGCAGATTCTCCTAATACATTTACCATTTCAGTATGAATTTCCATTGTCTTTAAACCTTTCTTAACAAAGAATTCTATTACAGCACGATGTTTCAAATTTTCCATTTTAAAAAACCAATTAAAATTTATAACTCTACTACAGATGTCGCTCCGCGAACTTTTCAGACTGCCCTACAATCGGATCTTTTCATTGTTATATTGAATGCAATTGTTTTGTTATATTTAGAAATTGTTACAAATGGGCGATCTACGGCAGGCGCTGCTGCAATTGCAATATCTGTTGCTGTCTGGTCCACCAATATTATCCGAGCAGTCAACAATTACGAAGCCGCTTTGGCAGGACATGCGAAGCTATCTGTATAAACCTGCCATTAAGTTAAATAGGAAACATAAGACGAAGAAAAGTACAAATACTGAAAAGACTAACACTACTGCGTGTATATTGAATAATTTAGCAGACAAATTGGATGGTTTATCTCTAGTGTCATGTTTAATTGATATTAAGGATTCGGCGTTAAATGTAACGGAGAAGAACACGCAGCCCAATTTGTCTTTAGCCGAAAATGTATCGTTCTATTCCGCTTCGTGTGATCTGAACACAAAAATAGCAAATTTTATAATCGATCAAATATTGTATAAAGACTCTAACGTAAACGAAATCGTGCAAAATCAAACTAATATTATTGTAAGAAAGCAATTGAACGAAGGAGTGGATTTGGCTCTCTCGCACATCACATCCACGTGTTTAGATCGACAAATTATGGCGTTAGATTACCTTCCGGCTGCACGAACGATATGTCGCGCGGAAGAGTCTCGTTCTACCGCTAATTACAAGCGAGGCAGTAGATTTTTCCATTATATGCATAGTTTGAAAGTGCCGACGCTGTTGATGAAACCGAATGTCTTAGCCGCCGCGTGTAGAATGTTGCAAGAAAAAGTAAGTAAAAATGCATCCACGAGCGGAGTCACCAGCGATTGACGTTTAGGAAAAATGTAAATTTTTTACGTACGTCGGATATGCGCGTACTTTTATTAAAACTCGAAGTTGCGATAAAACTTTAATTAGATACTGAATTTCTATTGTACATAGAGTTATTTATATTTACTGATAGCGTAATATTAAATATGTATTGTTGCTGTTATATGAATATATACACGTAGTATCATAAGTATTTTGGAATGACTTCTTTTTGTAATTGAATTTATTATGTCTCTGCTAAATACAGATATATTTGCATTTGTAAAAAGCTAGAAGTACAGAATTATGAATGATTTGTATCGACAAAGGAAACGTATTCGCAATAATTTTTTGCGAATATTGTATTTTTACTGCACATTTATACACATCAAATGCACTGTCAAAATATTTAATATAATAATTGTATAATAATGTACAATTAAATCTTTATGTGATGCAATTTGCGATTCAGTTCTTCGAATTTTAGTATTTTGCGAATGAAAAAGTCTCCGTAGCGATGCGCTACCTTCGTGTCGGCAATGTGAATCATATCGTTATCGATGTAGAAATCCAGCTGAAAAGAAAATTTTCATATTTATTTATTTATCAATTATGTTCATATCATCAATTATGTTCATATCATGCACTTGCCTATATGTCGTTAAGAAACGAAAGAATAAACTAAATTGTAATTATATCTTTGATTTTTGACAAGAAAAAAAACTAATAAATTCCAAATTTGAAGGATCTCAATCTATTTTTTAGAAAAATAAATTAAGGAAATAACGACACATTATCTTCCATTGGATAAAATGATAAAAAGTATATATTGTCGAAGAAATATGCAAAATATTTTTTCTCACGTACGTGACATAATACAAAAACAATTACCTCGGATCCGGATTGAAATTTCCCATCTAATCCCGATGTGCCTTTCGTCCAAACGATATTCTTCATCTTGTGCTTGAAACACAGCAAATGGATCGTCAGTGCACTGACTTCCTTGTCCAAATCCCAGCCTTCGTCGGTTCTAGTATTGCTGCCCATGAACGTGGCCAATTTGCTCAACGGCAACGTCGTGTAAAGCTTCAGATACGAGCGAATAGTCGGCAACATCTTCTGCTGCACTACTTCATCCATGAATACTTGGGTTTGATGCTTGATAGCCTCGCGGACATAATCCTCATTGGGATTGTCCGGGTTCGGCGGTGTCAAGGACAGGAATTTAGGACACGCGAATACGAAGCAATTTTCAAATTCGGTGAGATCCCCGTATTGCATCTTGTACATCTTTTCATGATAATTCTTATCCCGCAGAGCTTGCTGCAGGCCTTCGTCTATGCACTGCGGATGTAAGACTAGACATATGGCGAGCAAATGGTACATCTGCTCTGTCTGCTTATTGATCTGATCATTTTGGTAACTTCGCGTAGCGAAGAGTTGCTTTGTACGCTGGATGTACAGCAGGATGCCGGAAAAAGTTCTAATGGCATCTGCATATCGACGCATCATCATGTACGCGAAGCCCACGTAGTATGCCGTTGATATCTGACAGCCAGGCACATGAGAGTACGCGCTCTTTTTATAGAGCTCCACGTTCTCGAGAACCTTGATGGCTTGATAATAATCGCCCAGCAGAGAATGCAGCCGCAGAAGTCCGACGAGCGAGAAGTAACCGAGCATCTTGTACAAGGAATGTCTGCCAAAGGCGCCAGCCACAGAATCCGGATCACCGCCACTTGCGTACACCTCCAATTGGCTCTTAATTTTTGACTTGTCAACCAGATAGTGTAGGACGTTCAATACGCACAAGACATCCCAAATCTTGTTGTGCGCACTTAGATTTTCAATTTCGTCCGGCGTCTTGTTGGACAGATTGGCACGATACTGAGCAAACGATTGGAACTGATAGACGAATTCATCAATGAGTTCCCATAGCCATTGATCGGGTAATTCCAATTGCACTGGGGTGTCCGGGTGAAGAATATAGTTGAAGAGATCGCAGTAATTGTAAAAAGAGTTGAGACGCTGTTCCAGCGTTGGGCCTTGCATGCGTGCATAGATATGACGGTAATATAACTCTTTATAAAGAGTGAGAAAGACGGGGTCGTTGTCGACGATGTGAGCGATCGTTGAAGCGTCTGGCCATGGCGACTTGTCAAACAGCTGCTCCGAGATCTTCGGAAACGAATTCTCATACAGATTTTGAATCTCGAAGATCATGCCCTCATTGATGCAGTTGCGCAAAAACACCAGGAAGTTGCGCACTAACTCGGGCACCTGCCGATAGCTTGGCCGTTCATACTGATCGTGTGCCTCTGGCGGCCCGTAGTCATCGTAGGCATCGAACTGCGAAAACAGGTTGAAATAAGTCGTACGAATAAAATTATGTCAAAATCACGCTGTGGTTTTTCTCGACGATTGCGTTGGGTAATTGTAAATTTTAAAATAGATTAATACCTCGTTATAATCCTCGTACATCCTGCTAAAAGTAAGGACCTAAAAGAAATATAACCTCTCTTTCGTAACGGATGCGGTATGAACACGAGTCAATTTTGACCACAGACTTGTATCACAGTGCAGCAGCATAACCGTCTGATTTCTTTTTGAAGCCCAAAATGAAGTGCGCATGCGCGAAGTCTGCAAATTAGGGCCTATTCAGACAAACTTGCATAATCGCATAAACATATGCATAAGGAAATTGATTGGTCCATTTTCTTTTGGACCAATCAATCCTTGGTGGTCAATTTTAAATTAAAATTCTAATAGTAATTGCTCTATTCTTATCAAATTTTCATAACATCACAACTTGCTTTCTAAACATTACTTTGTAATAAATACAAATTAATCCAAAAAATTAACTTGTATCATAAGAAAATGATTTTTTATATTTTAATTTTAGGTACATTAAATTTAAAAAAATGATAAATTATTGTAAAATGTCTCATGTTGTCTTTCATATAAATAATTATGATTTTCAAGTTTATCCTTTCAGAAAACCTTATTTTGCGTTCGTAAATCTACATATACTAATTCTTCAAAAACAATAGAAATTTATATTCTTTAAAAAGACTTCTCCATTAAGTACTTAGAAAAAAAAAAAAAATAGAGAGATAACAAATTTCAGGATATTTTATATACAAACATATTATAGGATACAATAATGCTATGCGTAATGGTTCGCGCAAATTTCTAATGCGCACTTTCTTTAATTTATTCACCAAAAAACAGGAAAGAAATCCTATGATTCTTCCTTTGTACTGAACAATTGTATAGAACATGTTTTTGATCTCATTTAGTAAGATGAAACAATATACTTGCGTCAAGACTTCGTCTTTTACTCAGGATTGCTACACGCTAACTGATAACATAATCGCTTTTAATGTTTCTCATTTATACGAAATATATCCGTAAAGATTCGATATAATGTTTTTCTATGTATAAATTTTGACACAAGTTAAAAATTAAATAACTAGAATACTATGCATATTAAGTATTGTGGAAATAATATTACATTTTTCTTGGACATAGCTCCAACTTCTTCAGAATCAGACGGGATTGGATATTGAACACTTATTTGAACTTTTTTACGGATTACAATAATTTGTACTATTATAATGTCTATGTAATTTGATCAACCGAATAGAGATCCACAATTTCTCTTTCGTAGTGTTTCACGAATTCGCAACATAAATACAATGATATGAACTATAGAATAGTCTGGCAATTAATTGAGAAATGCGTTAATAAGTCAGAAGATTCGAGAGAATCGGAATAGTCGCGTTTGCAATCAGCTGCTTAGAAAGAATTACATTATATCATCAATATGTTCTTACACTAGACATGCATTTTGCTGCCTTCAACAATCTCATACATGTAACAGAGATGATTCATAATAATTTTTTCTTTTTGCACATCATCCCAATTTACTTTTGTACATTACGACCGTTCGCGATTTTCATCAAAATAAATCACAAACGATATCGATTATTAATAAAATCATTTGGTCACTGTGTGTCAATAAAACATTGAATTCATAGCCAATTCTCTTCTTTCGTATTACACAATTGCAAAGAGTGCTACATTATGAGATTATTGATTAATGATCCCTATCACCATTTTGTACGATAAGGCTACTTCTCCGTAGATTTAAACATACGCAACAGATGTTGATTAAATGGTGTCTTTTGTTGCAGCAATGCGAAAGAACAATTGCACAAATATCACGTTTAAATCATTTATAATCTCAAATGTATTAAATTATTTATAATTCCAAATATATATTCAAACAATAATCTCGAATATATATTAAATAATTTATAATCCCAAATATATTATACATATATTTCTGTTTAGGCGTGTATCTTGATATTTGTGATAAATTGTTGATACAACATAGTAAATGCCTCAAATAAATTTGATACACGAATTATTTGCAAAGTTGTAATAGCAAATGTATCTTTGATGTCTATACGAGAGAATTTGAATCATGTTTATCACGATTCGATCTTTTAATATTTGCTGTTGTAATTCAGTCTTGTAAATAAAAAGTACTTATATACTTAAAAAGCAGTCTACTCTTACAGAGAAATCGTCATGTTTTATGTTATATTTTTTGCATTATTGGGTACAGAAGCGACCCTCGATAATTAAATCATGATTATAATTGGAAAAATTTTAACTTATTTCGATTATTTACTGAAGAATGGAAGCTGCGAACGTTCTTTCGAAACATATATATTTTGGTGAATATTAGGGAAGAGATTTTGCCTTTCTTTTCACATAAAAAAAAAAACATAAAGTTTTGTGCACAATAGAGAACACAAAGCATTTATAATTCTACGAACACTTAAATCTAAAGCAATTGGAATTTGTTTCACATACAATACAAATAATATTGATAAAAAATCTTATAAAGTAATATTTCGACATGATGTTTTGTGGAGTAAAAATGTAAAATAACGGCAGTAAATCGACAGAATATGCGCATCTTTTTTTTTCCATATGCGCAAATTACATGTTTGATCGAGCGAAAAAATATTTTAAAAGTTGATAATAAAATAAACACCAAAGATCGATATACGGAGGATGCTCTCTCAAAAATTTAGAAAGGCAAAGTCTTTTACAAAATGCATAGTTACTTATATAATGCTCATCGATCGACGGTAGCGTTTTCTAGTATTAGTTATAACAACAGGAACCGATACGGGGGCCGGGGGAGTTACAGGAGTAACTGGCGTTATTGGTGTGAGAGGAGTTAGTGGAGTTTCAGCCACTTGGGCTGAAGAGGGGGGCCTGAGCTACCAAATGTAGTTCTCAGTTTGTGGAGCCCGCATCACACCCACGCCACCGCCAAGCCTCCTATAATTCATACAACCGCATAATTTCCATTGATTCTGCTCCGGATCGTAGACCTCGATCGTTTTCAAATACGCAGTACCGTCGAATCCGCCCACCGCGTACAATTGACCGTTCACTACCGCTAAGCCCACCTGAAAATTCATAACAATAAGCATTAGAAGTGTATCGGAACTACAATACGATATTTACAACAGTTTCACACTCGAATTTTATATGCAATCCACAAAGAAGTAGACTTACTCCACTTCTCCTAGATGTCATCGCTACTATCGGGCTCCAGGAATTTGTATGGGGATTGTAACGTTCCGCACTGGAGAGCTCCATACAATCATCACGTCCTCCCACAGCATAAATTAGATTATTAAATACAGCACAGCCTAGATGTTTACGTCTCGTAGACATCGGGGACACTTGGGACCACTTGTTTTGCCTCGGATCATATCTTTCTACCGTGTTGAGGGGTGATTGCCCATCAGACCCGCCGATGGCATATAAATAACCTCCAAGCACAGCAACCGCCACTCCCAATCTTCTGGTGGTCATCGGCGACACTTTAGACCATTTGTTCTCTTTGGGATCATATCTGCAAAGTAACGCGTGTGTCATTAGTTACACAAGCGTACCACTTTGAATATTTACATACCAAATGTTAGCACTGAAAAATTGTCAGTAATACTTGCCTTTCCACATGATTAAGGCATTGCACTCCGTCCTGGCCACCAACTGCGTACAGAAATCCATCCAAAACCGCGACGCCTACACTAGTTCTGCAGGAAGTGGTAGGAGCGACGTCGCAGGACCACTGATTCGTTTGCGGATCGTACCGCTCGATGCTGTTCAAGTAGCTTTGCCCGTCGTGTCCGCCAACCGCGTACAACAGGTCGTTCAACACCGCTACACCCACTCCGCACCTTCGTTTGCTCATCGGTGCAACCATCTTCCAATCGGCAGTATTGGGATCGAATCTTTCGACGCTGGCGATAGCGTCGCCCGAACACCATCCGCCAACCGCGAACAGCACCTCCCCCCGTCTCGTAGGTTTTCTGGGTCTCGTTCTAGGTCCCTGCATCAACGGTCTTTCTTGCGGCAGAAGTAGATAATTTTCGCTTCGTCCACCAAATCTCTGCAGGCGTCATCGGAGCGAACCAACAGATCGGATCCGACGGTGCCGACTAGAAATTTCGGGCTAAGTAACGGCAGTCGCACGTGCTGTAGCACTTGAGAGAGATGCTGCCGCCTCTCCGAGACGTTGTATTTCACCCAATTCATCACGGCGCTGAAAACTTGCTCCTCCGTACGCACATTTAATTCATCCGACGAAATAATGTCTACTAACTGGCCGACAGGTAACAACAGAAATTCCTCGCTCTCCATTACCTATAAAAGTATAGAAAATGAAAACAATATATTCTTGTATGTTAACTAATATCTTTTTCGATTATTACGCACCTCTTGGAAATTATGTTGGGTGAACTTATCGGCAATACGCAGAAGTTCGCGGCATGAGTGGGTATCCGCAAAAGCTCGGATACCCAAGCAATTTGATGGGTCTAATTGGCGTTTGAGAAATTCACAGCATATATCTTGAATTTCTGCTAATTGAAGAAGGCACGCTGCTGGAAGGAGAGTTTGAACATTTGCTTCTTCGACGATAATGTGAGAAGTGTAACAGAAGTCTATGAGTAATTCCATAGCCATTTCGTCTATATCACGTATCGTTACTTCAGTTTGTCTAGATTCCGCCAACTCCCCAGTAAACATCGCCCTGAAGACAGAAAAATTTCATCGGTTGAAAATTGTACACTCATTCCTTTTTCCGCTGTACAAACTACTTGAGCGAGTAAAAAAATATCAATTGCTCGTGCAAATACCTGAAGTATGGGCTACATGCCGAAAGAATGACACGATGCGCAAATATCTTTCTAGAGCCAACATTGAGAACAACGTCGCAGAGTTCCCGATGACGGCGAAGAACATTGAGCTCGGTTAACGTCGAGCGAGGATGCTTCTCAGAGGTATGACTGAGGCGTGCTGGAGAGGGAGCGCGTTCTACGACTATTTCACCCATCCTCTGCGAGGATGGGGCTCCCACGGCCCCTCTCCCCGAGGCACCCCTGGTCCCCCCGGCTAGCTGGAGGCGCAGCGGGGGTGACGCCCAGCCCCACACCGAATCTATCTGCAACACCATTCACCAACCACCGCAGGTCTCAAATGTGCCTGCAGCAGGTCCCCTAATGTTGTGGTTTCCCTATAGCGACAAGACGATGTGTGTGTGATGTCATATGTAATATATATATTATTCAGTTAATAGTAAGATAATATTTGTTATTTATATACATACAAGGGAAAGATGATGACCATCAGATATAATATAATACTAGAGTGTATCGAGCCGTCGCAGTTGTTGGTGCGAAAATTTTATTGTAATTATATCTACGTTGAAACGTTAAATCGTACATTGTTCTCACTATTCGGAGAAAAGGAGAGAAAAAATATATGTAGACGAATAAGTTTCTATATAAAAAATAATAAAATCCCTTGTACATATTTAAGTCACGCGGGCATAAAGACGCGTCTATCTCTTACAGAATTGTTTATTTCCTAAAACCAGCAAGAGATAAATGTTAAAAGTGTCTGAATAGTTTAGTGGAAAAAACAGTCGCCCGGCAAACGGAAAGACTCGGATGAAAGTCCTGGCTTAGTCACTCGCGCTCTGATATTTTTTCCCTCGTTTTTTCTTCTTTCCTTCAATAATTTCTTATTCGTACATTCTGATTCTCTGAATAGTGAGATCAAAGTACTTAATTTTTATACATTCTATGTATCTCAATCTGAGATCGGTGTACGTAGACTTAATGTAGACGAATAAGTTTCTATATAAAAAATAATAAAATTTTCGCACCAACAATCGCGACGGCTCGATATACTCTCTCTCTAGTATTATATTATATTTATTATATATATTTATCATTATTTTACAGAGTTGTGTAGATTAAAGTAACATAAAACATATTTTTCAATGTTAAACAGAAAAATAAAGATAGAAATGTAACATAATAAAAAAATATAAAATATTGCACAATTTAATTTCTACAAAAGCTGTGAAATCTTATAACAAGTATAAATTATTCACTCATACAAATTATAAAAATCACAATAACAATTATCTACATTAACCACCAAATTTTGTTTAATTACACTAATATGTGTGGCTCTAAGTCACAGAACATTATAAAACTATGGTAGACAGTGTTCATCTTTTAATGCTTCTCGCAGGATTTTTTAAATTTTAATTTAAAATTTAAATATTGATTACAATTCTACAATTTGAAGTTTTCACATATATTGGCTTGGAATAAATAAATTCCATTTCTTAGATAATAATTTGTTGCCCCTGAAAGTTATTTATCATTCAAATAATGTAATGCGTTTATCTTAAAGTTTATCTATATTTACAAAATATTTTACTCCAACTAAAAGAAACATATGGAACTGGATATTTTCTTATATTTATCAAAAATGTAAAGTAAACAACAATATTTTTAATGAAAATATTACAATCGCAATCCAAGTGGATTTTCAATGACTCACAAATAAAGGATTTTGCAACGTTTCGCGACATAAATTCGAAAGTCTTAATACTTTGTCTTGAAAAGCTTTAAAATCACCGATGTACAGGGCAAATTTAAATGCCAGATATTTCACATGCACAGAAATGACATACAAGATCGTATGTACACACTTTCGTTTGCTTTCTCCGGACTACCAGGCGATATCAACAAGAGAGGTATCACGGAATTCGTCTGGTTTCAGTTCACATCAGCGTGAATGCTTGTCGCGGGACATCAGTTGCGTTGTTGCACGATGTTATCGATGTTCCCCGTCCGGAAACTTGCACTGCACACTTATTTTCCGAGAGTTATCACGAAAATGCTCTCATCTTGACGTTTTTCCGTGATGAAGCACAGCGTACCGCCGTAACCCAGCCACTCGTGAACTCAATCTTTAGGGGATTTCAGAATTCAATCGTGCCAATCGTACCAATCGCAATTTAAATTCGAGTTTTAAAATGTCTCGATATATCGAGATTGCAACTCGAACTTGAACCACAGTATAACTATAATAGCGTTTTCGAATAAACGGGGTTTGAACGATCTAGGGTTGATCAATCACTATTTTACTATAAATGCAAGTCTTTCATTGGTAGAGAGGTTGCAATGACGTCATTAACCAATCTTGGGTCGTTCAAATCCTGTATAATCGAAAACGCTATAAGAGTGTGCAGTCTATTTTTTTAAGCTTATGATGGGTCTATGGTTAAACGAGCTGTCAAATTACTACATTATACGTTTGTGATTGAAATAGAAACGAATTTAAAGTAATTTATTTATCGCAACGTAAAGTTATTTTTATACCAAATACACGTTATCAACATTTTTTCTTAAATTATGTTCGAAAGTGATGATTGGACTCTTGAAGTAAGTTTTCTTGTATAATTATATTAAAATTTACTCAACTAATCCATATAATTCTTGTTGTATATTATAATTTTATAACAACACGGCAAATATTTACGGTCGAGTATCTCGTTATTCAAAATTGATATAGTTGATACAAACTTCCGATGTATTCTAGGATCCTTTTAACAATCTCGATGAGAAAACGGTACAGTCCCATTCTCTATGTCAAAGCGAAGAAAAAACATCGTCTATTAAACGACGTAAAGTGGATAACTGCAAGGCTTCATCTTCATCGACAAATATTCTTGATGTAAGATTGGATAGTGTAGCAAATGCAGAGAGCAATAATCCACCTCGTGACAACAAGAGTAATTTATCACGAGGAAATTTATTATTAGGAATCTTTCAGGAAAATTTTTCCCAAGAGATATCAGATTTTGTCAAAAAAACAAACCAAAATTCAACAAATGTAAAAAGAGATCAACAATGTTTTCAATCTTTCAAAATAAGTGCAACATCAAATACAATGAATCATAAAGAGTTAAAACAAAAGAATCACGTTAAATCTACAGATAAAGTTGACCTTAATACAAGAGTAAAATTGCATAGAATATTTCCTGGTCCAGCTGGATTGGTAGCTGACATGAAAAAGGATAATATTTCTGTTGAATCTTATTTAAATCACATGCAAGAATTAGAAAATAAAATAGCGATAAAAAATGAGAATAATTTATCTAAATCTCAGGATGAAAAGAACTTGTTTGAGGAGACAGCTTGGAATCTTCTGCTGAATGATTTGCCAAATAACTTTTTGAAAGAGCACAGCATTTCTGCTATTAAAAATAAAGCAAATGCTAGTAATTGTAACAGTATGAAAGTAAAATTTATAGCGGGCACGTTAGAGTATATAGATCATAGTCAGGATAATCCATTTATTATATTGAAAGATTCAACAGGTAGTATAGAAGGCACAATTCATCATGACATCTTGTTGAATTATCCTGGTGTATTAGAGCCAAATGTGGTTATTTTTTTAAACAATGTGGGATTACTGAAAACTACAACATATGTAGTAACAAATAAGTATCATATTCTTATATCTGAAGTAAATTTGTTAGCTGCGTATTCAAATAAAGGTCGAATTGTGAATACGTCTCGTATGAAAAATATTTTGTCAAATATTTCAAATGTTGAATCAAATAGAAATCGCGATATGCTAATTTCAAAGCATTGTATAAACTCAAACATTGATGGTTCATTACATCAATCGAATGCAGAATACGAAAAACACGAGCAAGTTGTCAAAAACAATAGCAAAAGTTGTAAAATTATGGGTAAAGTGAATGAATATTTCGACCAGTCGATGGAGATAGATGATTTCTGTACAATTGATTGCGAATTTGTGCCTTCGGAAAAGGAGAATCGTCTTATTGGTTTATCACGTGAAACTATTTCGCAAGCTAACAAAATTCGATGCAGTGAGTCTGAAAAAAGAATAAATCATATAAAAAATACAAAAACTGAATCGGTTTTAAGTTTTCAAGATAATATAAAGGAACAAAATTTACAAAAATGTGTCGCAAGTGTAAACGTCACTGACGCATGTCATTCGCGTGAAAGTTGTTTTTTATCTAATAATAATGTAGCACTTACGCGGGAAGCGTATAAAGATTCGAATACAAAATCTATCTCGCCGGTAATAAAGCATAATATTCAAAACTCAGATATCTCCGTAAGCCACTTCGCTGGCGATAACGAGTATGATTCAGACGACGAGATGTTGTCACAGTTAGATGTAGATAACGTCTTGTAATTATAAGAAAGGATGCTAAAAAGAAGCATATCTCTGTAAATACTCTGACGTTGCATTGTACAAAATTAAATTTGATCTCGATTTACTATGTATATACGGCATTGTCTGAACACAATAATTTAAATCGACTGATATTAAAACAGGACATATAGTGTAATATAGATATACAATAATATTTGTACTGCTAAGTTAGAGTTATTTCTGATTAAATTGTTGTTATTGAAATACTATTTGTCATTTTATCACTTTATTACTTAGATTTGTGAAACATTTTATTACGTATTGTAAAATTACCGATAACAAAGTACGTTTGTGCACAATTTGTTGATGCGGGCAATAAAAACGTTAATCACACGTAATTTTACAACGCTATATACAAGACACATACACAGTATATATAAGATTAGAAAGTATAAACGAAACACGCGGCTGCGTAATGGTTGCAATAAATACGGATGTCTAACGTATATATGATCATTGAATTCAATTGATTTTGCAATTAATAAAATATTCAAAACAACGACATATATATACTTAGGCTGAATAAAGTAGAATAAAGGATGATTCTTATTTTTTGATTTTGCCAAGTGATTCGTTGCGTGAGTATATATGAATACCTCAAAGGTATACTGTGTTAAGTCACATTTTTTTTCGAAAATTGAGTTATTATTATCACAAGACTCTATATTCCAATTTTTATCTGATGGCAATTGTTTTCAATGAAAATGGAGATGTTGGCTGTATAAAGTTAAGTCATACTGCGATTACACGTTCACCAGGTAAACACTGTATTACACTGTGTAACATACTGTATTAAGTCACATTAAAGTCATATTACGTAATCACACAACTTCATTTTCTGAAACATATCGAAGTTTGAAAAAAAAAAAATTGGCAAAACATAAGTATTTTACTGAGAGTATATCAAAAACGAAAAATCTTTACAGATCCTTCTCTTGAACAGTTATGTTTACGTGACTTAGCACAATATCCCAGTAAACATTCGATATCCTATGTATATACATGGAATGTCCATAATGTGAATAAAACGTACAGTATATATTATGTACATACATAGAATATACATAAATTTACGTGTATTTAGGGATATTTGTAGGACATCGTATGGATATACATAGAATGTATATTCGAACGAGATTGCTGCCTGTATATGCACAGAATATACACAGAATATACTCATGTACATTCCATCTATATACATCAAACGTATATACATACGATATACGCTGATGTAGATATATATACGAATATCCATAAATGTATCTATATCAGCGTATATCGTATGTATATACAATTGATGTATATAGATGGAATGTACATGAGATGACATTTTATGTCATATTATGATGATATCACCATGACTGTAACTAATGACATCACTGTAACTTTCTGGTAATGTCACAGTGACATCACAATATCCATAAATATTTATTTTATATTATTAATATTTATATTATTTTATATTATTAATTTTATATTTAAATATTAATTAATATTTATAGATATTGTGATGTCACCGTGACGTTATCAGAAAGTTACAGTGATATTATTATAGTCGTGGTGAAATCATCATAATATGACATAAAATGTCACCTCATCCATAAATGTATCTACATCAGCATATATTGTATGTATATACGTTTGATGTATATACATGGAATGTACATGAGGTATATTCTGTGTATATACAGGCAGCGATCTCGTTCGAATATACATTCTATGTATATCCATACAATGTCCTATGAATATTCCTAAATATACGTAAATTTATGTATATTCTATGTATGTACATAGTATATACAGTACGTTTTTTTTACATTATGGATATTCCATGTATATACATAGGATATCGAATGTTTATTGGGTATGTGACAAAAACACTTGGCCCAATGTAATTAATTAAATAATGAAATAATTTTCAATTTAAATAATTTATTTCATAACATTAAAAATTTTATGGAAAGTGGACTCTACTCTTAAGTCAATAATAAACAATTTTTATTCATTCGGATATTTATCCACCCAATTTCTGAATAATCAGTTTATCTAAATTCCCTATGTTGGGATTCAGATATTAAACTGATAGAAAAAGTTTTTACATCCTTAATATTATTAGCCGCCTTTTGCAAGTTTTATATAATTCTTGTAATTAAATACGAGATAGATAGCGTATAATGCGTCACATAGCGGCAAGCGAATGAACTAATGACTGAATACTGTTTTTGTAATGTTTTTGGAATTTGTTGTAACATTTCTGTGACATTTTATGTCATATTATGATGATATCACCACGATTGTAATTAATGATATTACTGTAACTTTCTGATAATGTCACAGTGACATCACAATATCCATAAATATTAATTTATACATATACATATTTACATATTTAATCATGAGAATTATATAAAAACTTGCAAAAGGCGGCTAATAATATTAAAGATGTAATAACTTTTTCTATCAATTTAATATCTGAATTCCAACACAGGAAATTTAGATAAACTGATTGTTCAGAAATTGGGTAGATAAATATCCGAATGAATAAAAATTGTTTATTATTGACTTAAGAGTAGAGTCAAGTGTAAAGTCCACTTTCCATAAAATTTTTAATGTTAAGAAATAAATTATTTAAATTTAAAATTATTTCATTATTTAATTAATTACATTGGGTCAAGTGTTTTGTCATATACCCAGTAAACATTCGATATCCTATATATATATACATGGAATATCCATAATGTGAAAAAATGTACTGTATATGCTATGTACATATATATGCTATGTACATAGAATATACATGAATTTACGTATATTTAGGGATATTCGTAGGACATTGTATGGATATACATGACTTGTATATTCAAACGAGATCACAGCGTAAATATACATAGAATATACCTCATGTACATGCCACGAATGTGTATTGCACATTCTTGCAATATACCCCATGTATATACCACGAATGTACACTGCATATCTTTGGAATATACCTATGTATGTACTATGGACATTCTATGTACATACATGTGGTAATTATTTCACATACATAGGATATGCGATGTATATACTTTTCACATTTTCTGTATATACATAGAATATACAATATGCATATATGTATATACATAGGACGTACATAGAATGTCCTAATGTTTATTGGGTAGCACCTCCGAGGTGCTCATATATTTTTTAATGTTTATTGCAGCTTTTTAAACCTACGTTAGGCGATTTATAATTTGCAGTAAAGTTCGAGATAAAATTTTTACAAATACATACATATATATATATATATATATATATATATATATATATATATAGAGAGAGAGAGAGAGAGAGAGAGAGAATTCAAATGTTTTTTTAATGTAAAATTATAAAAAGAATTTTTATCTTGAATTTTATTGCCGGATCGTCTAAAACTGGCTTTAGAATTCAGACAAATTATGATTCATGAGGCTACGGCACAGTTAGATATTCCAGCAGATTATCGGAGAGCATATTTCAAGGTCGATTCATAGGCTTACTGTGCAGAGCAAATGTACCAACGAAAGGATTATAAATGTCAACGGTAAAATATAGGATAAGAGATCGTTGCACGAGATTAAGGCCGTGCAAAACAATAACTTACTTTCGCGTACGCGTCAAGGGGATTATCCTGATCACTCATTATTTACTCTTTTCTTTTTTCTATGCGTTGTTAATATAAGCTTCGGGTATTATCATTTTTTCAGATATTTAAAAATATTCGGCGAATGGCAAGAATCGTTGGATTTTTATTTTTTTGAATCGATATCAGTTTTACTTTCAAGTATTTTTTTTGTGTCTCTCTCTCTCTCTCCTCTCTCTTTGTCGCTCAAATTTATGCGCATATGATACGTAGAATAATTTTAAAAGAAAAAATAAGACGCGTAAAGTATATTTTTTCTATATGAACAATTTCGTGAACAATTACATTGTCTTGTATGTTTACATGAGAAAATTGCTGGTAATTTCATTGCGTCACATCCGTACGAGATGTGCGTCTAATTTTTTTTTTCATCCGCGCATGAAGTTATTTAACACATAGGTTTCTTTTTGACTTGTATGCTTATTCACTTAGTCTACATAAGGCGAATGCGTAATTCGTGCATATTTATGGTTTATATCAGGATTCACTGTGTAATGTCATATTTATAATTTGACACACACACACACACACTGACTGCAGTACCGTTATTAATTTAAAGAATTTTATCGTATAATCTGAAATATATATAAATTAAAGTTGCCGCGTTATTAAATTTTTTGATAAAGAATAAGAGCAATATTGTTTGTATGTATAATTATCTAATCTTCTCTATTGTGTTATACTCAATAAACTAATCTTGAAAATATCGTATGTAATATTTGACTGATAGAAATTTATCGCGGAGAGCGCCATTCAGTTATAACAAAACAATTTTTAAAGTATATGTAACAAATAGTAATCTAATAATATTGATACATAATACATATCGATACATATTCTTCGAAAGAATAAAAAAAAGTTGTTTTAAAATATATAAAATTATTATTTTTGCGTGATTGTTATAACCGTTTTGTCAAAAATTTTTATATTTATAAATAGTAAGTACAAAATTTTAATAAATATAATTAATAAACATTTTTAGAAAAAAATAATTTACATTATTTCTTATTATTTTATACAGTGCGAAATGTTTCAAAGTGTTACACGCAGAGACTTATCATACTTATGATATGCGATGCTTTTTGATAAATAGAGAGAGATGCTGTGAATATATAATTTCTCAGAAATATGAGTAATGTAAGAATCTTGTATCAATCACTGTAATAATAATTACTAAAAATAAATTAGAAGATAGAGTTGATTGCGTTTTGCAATTTGTATTTCGACAGTTTTATTTTAACAGCTGTTTGAAGTTTAAGTTTAAAGTGTTTAAACGGATACAAAAACAAAGAACAGAAAAAAATGCGCGCGGGCAACGCGCGCATGTATGTCTTATGTTAATCAGTTAACAGCAAAACGAAAAATTGGCTTCGATCATCAGTGGTTAATATTTCTTCTACACAAAAGTTAAAAATGAATTGACGTCATTCATTAATATAATACTGGTTTCAGCTTGCGTAAATTTTTACATTTCACAACTTACTTGTTAACCCAATGTCTCTTCTGGTTTCGATTATTCCATTGTAATTCCGTTATCGAAATTCACCGAAATGAAAAATATTCCATAAGATATTTATTGCACAAGTTTGTGCGAACACGGCGCGGAAAGATTGGTGAATGGTTACACCTTATCCGTGAAACGCGGAGCGGGGGAGACTTGGCTAAAGCGTGCCACACCGCTCCGCTTCGTCTCTCTCTCTAATAGCAGTCGCGTAAAATGTGACAGTGCAGTTCTGTACGCTTGATACGAAACAAACGGCGCGCCGACAAAAAAACATATAAAGAAACATTAGCAGATCAAGTTAATCAATCGTGCGGGAAAGCTCGTATCGCTAACGAACGCTAGCCATTGATCCAAAGTTCACTCGCTGATCTCGTGTTGTATAAATGATAACAAATAGTGCCTCTTACAGTTTCCGTCTTACGATTCCTTCGTTTATTACTTGAATTTCAAGCAATTTTGACAGACAAATTATTTTGTTAAATCCAAGTCATACTGATTTCGCGCGTATTTAAACAAGTGCTTTATTCTTTGTGTGATAATATTTTAAAAGGGCGCAAAAACGGATACTACAAAAAATTTCAAATATTCCGCATATTGTAAAAATTCGACAAACTGGTTAAAATCGAGAGCACGGGTGTGTTTTTCGAAATTACTTGCCTCTACCACGCGCACAAAATTGTTCTTGCCGTTACGAAGAAGAAAAACGTCAAAGAGACTCAAAAAATTTCGTATGTATTTTTTTTATTATTATTTTATTGCATATTTGTTATTATTGCTCTGCTACTATTGTTACTACTACAAATACTATTGAAATATGTATTAGCATTTGTTACTATATATTATTATTATTATTATTATTATTATTATTTTTTTTTTTTAATTTTTATTATATACGACGTATTAGTATTAGTCGGATAAAAGAACAAGCGGAAGTTTATTTTACATTATGCGAGGAATTACGAATTATCAACGCGTCCTTTCCGCATTTCTGTATTGGAAAAAAATGCTTTTAAATAATGAATAAAAAATTGAAATTTACGCATTTATAACATTATTAATACACATATTGAATATCAATAACTTACATTTTCTCGGCAAAACTTTCATTTATTGAAATTTTTAATGACGTTCGACTCGATACTCTCATCGATCGCCGCTGATCGTTACGTTGTTATCATTGCATGAATATCGTTGCACTAGTCGTGAATTTTTTTTTTAGATAAAATGCAAATAAGTTAAAATTTTACTTCGGCTCGTGACACTCTTTTTCAACATATTCGTGTAAAACGATAGTTTGTATATGCTTACTTATATACTTGTAACACTTGTTAAAATATAAACGTACGTCCAGATATGATAAAATTTATTTACATGAATCATTTGTGTTAATGATATGAGCACTGTATTCTTTTTGTTCGTAGATTCTCTCAAATATATTTAGTTGTATGATTACAATTAGTAAAGTTGACGTAAAGTATATTTCCGATTGTGCTATTTAGAATTTATAACGCTTAAATGCTATTCGATTTTCTTTTAACTATTAAACTTCTGTTTATTTTCTTCTTAAAATAATATAACTTTAAAAAAATAGCAAATTTTTTAAATATAAATTTTTATTAGAATATGGTGTAGATAATAGAGGTAAATAAAGATATTAATTTTTGGCGTTTATAAAAGAATAATTTAGTAATAGTAAAAAAAATATTTTCCAATACAGTAATTTGAAATAATTAATTTATAGTTAATTTATAAAAATAAAATATATCACTTAAAATGTTTTTAGAAATTAATTAATGCTAATGCAAATTTTGATAAGATATTTTTTTTAACATAGCGCTTTTACTGCGCTGTACAATAACAATACTTTTATGCAATAAAACCTAATATAAAAATTTATTTTAAAATGAATTTTATGTACATTATGTTAATGGTCTTCTATCAAAGCATGCATATCACAAAAATCTGTAATGTGTTTAACAGTTATTCTATTTGCGATACAATTTGATAGTACTCATTAATATCTGTGTACAATAATATTAACATTATCTTAATGATATCTATAAAGATAAAGTTAAGTTAAGTTGTTATTATACGTTACACGAACCCTATCTCTCATTTACCAACCTCTTGTCGTTTATCAACGAGTTATTACCTACCATTTATCAGCCAGACGGGTGCATTAATAGTGCTAGTGCGTCCGTATTCGCAAGGACACTTGGTAATACATATCTTCTTCATTTTTTTGGTTTATCACGAGCATTTTTTTGGTTTATTACGAGTATACAAGCAAAAAATATTTTTTTTTTTACTTGGTGTTACGAAATTTGATTGTGAACATACCAAACACTGTTAACATATCGACTGCAAATGAATAACACCTCCAGAAAAAATTATCAGGACACTATGTTTGTCAAAACAGAAGCAATCATAACTACGTTTATTGAAGAACTAATATTTTTTGCACATATTCCACTTAAAAAATTTCCATGATGTATTACAGTATTTCTATGGTATTTGTATTATGGCAGTCAACATGTTAAGGTGTCTGAATGTTCTGTAGCAGTGCGTATTCAGTGTATTAATATTTACTCGCGTTTATTTATTAATTTATAATTTATCAATCTATTGATAAAGTTTAATCAAATTTCAATCAATCAATTTTTAATTTGAAATATTTAAACTCTAATCAATTTTATTTATGTCAAATTGGTCAGAGGTTCTACGAATGAAAAAAGACGTAAAAACTGATATCTACATTCCACACGTGTTCCACGTGTATCTCAATCCCCTTCACTGCAATTCTAGTCTGCAATATAACCGAGCTTATTATATAAGCTCACGGGAGCTGTTGCGAAAATTGAGGTAGAATATAATCACATATGCATGATTAGTTTCACAGAGAGACACATATATTAGATGCGATAAATTAAATTATTGCAACGCATTGCGTTATAAATAATTATCTTTTCAAATTATATCTGTAAGATGATTTTTATCTATCAGTTGATGACAGCGATTATAACGTAAGAAATATATGAGCTCAAATAATACAATTACTGTCAGGATGTGTTATGCAAAGTCGATGACTAACTTGCGTAAGGTTTAACAACGCGTATGAAAGTGTGAAGGCTAGTGTTTATAACAAGCAACATTTCAGGCAGCATAATCGGCGGCTAACAATCTTCGGTAATACATCATTGGATTGTAACGGAGGAAGCTGTCCGTTCCGAACTCACGGAATAATAATCTGACAAGTTTGGAATGATCGATAATAATAATAGTAAGTATAAAAATAAAACGCAAAGCAATTACAATCGATTATCACGCGAGTAATCTTGCACTTGAGTTTTTTCATATTTATTGTGCCTCCGGTATTTTTATAATATACTTTAAAATGTGTTGGTCGAGTTGCCATTTCGTAGGCAGGTCTGATTATTAAAATTATATGTCGAAAAATGGGTCAAGTAGTATAATTTATATATTTATTCTATCTAGGTATTGTGCGTGTACGCGGTATATATCATATATCTCTCGATATCTCGATATCTCTCATTAGCGGCGCTAACATATCTATATAGGCTCTTGCAGACAGGACGGTAACGTTTGCCGCGCGGCAAAAAGCCATGCGGTAGCCAATTAGTTTTTCACTCTTATGGAAAAGTTGTAAGTTGATTGGCTACCGCGTTGTCTTTTGCCGCGCGGCAAGCGTTGCTGCGTCTATGACTTAAGTATCTATTATTTTGTCAAAGTAGAAAGAGTAAAAGATCATTACTTTTTTGTCGCAATTGTCAATATATTTTATAATCTTACTAGTTTATTTTTTTTCTTAGGGATGAATGACAACGAAAAGTCGGATGATTCATGGCAAAAAATTCATACTGATCAAAATGAATATCTGGTATATATTGCTATCTCTTTTTATATGTTTTAAATTCGTAATGGATTCATTTTCAATTTTTTAAAATAATTTTAAACAAAACTGTAAGTTCTAAAAATAATATAAAAAGTATTTACACTTATAAGCAAGTTATTACAACAATGTCCAAACAATTTAAAAATACATTTAAAATTGCTGCCGTAGCATTGTTGCTACAATCGTGTGATACACGTCACAATACAGTAGAATTTCTGTCACATCGACAGATCTGCGAGCGTTGGTCACATGCGATTGTTATATTTCATATACCGTGACATTAAGCGTATTAAACGTGGAACTTTTCACACCTTTGAAGGTTTTTAATTCATTGTTACTTAACATGTGTACGTACATAACATTGGTTTTCTGTAATATATTCAACATTTATACTATTTAAGCAAAAAAAAATTTTTAATTTTTTATAAGTGAGTCCATTATATTGAATTTGTTCTTTATTATACATAGCTATGTACGGTATTTTAGCGTATTTATGGCTTTGAGAAAAGTTTACTGAGATCTATTCTAACATATGTATCATACATATTGTCTATCGGATGGGTCAGACTATTGTTTCACTGGTATCCTCAGCTGCATTTATACGCGACTCATCAGAAATGTCCTTTATCTCGCGCAACAAAAATACTCGTAATAGTAAGTTTTTCTTGTTCTCAATATTATGCACTTTATTGCTATTATTACTATTTATAATTAAATAGACTTTTTATGTATATAATAATAATAACAGTAATAATGGTAATAACGAATACAGGATGATTATCAAGGAGAATACAAGTCATACTTTGTACGAGATGTCAAGATAATTTCTACAAG